CAGTGCAAGTGCAAGCAAAAATACTGTCATTGCAGCTTCATTATCTGACAGAACATATTATGCCTCACGGGAGAGAAAATGGAGTTTGGGAAAGGAGGAAAAGGGTCTTGATCATAATCTCGCCTCTATTCATTTTTATTATTTGCTTCACGTGTGAAGCAAATGCGAGGTTTTGGGATCTCCTTTGTCTAAGTATTGTGTAAAGATGCAAGAAAGCTTAATCTGAGACTGGCTGGTAAGTCTGTATAAATCTGTGTAGTCAATGGACATATGCTTTGAGAGCAGGAAATCGCTTGTATTGCTTGACTGGTGTAACCCTTTAAACATTTAAATTAGTAAAAGAATAGCGTAAAGGCTGCTAGGGCTGTCTTGGGTGATATATAATTGCCACGGCGTTTAAAGTACTGTCACACAGCAAAACTTCCATTTTGCTTCCCTACGCTAAGCAAAAGGATCATGTTTTATATGTGGACAAATTGCACAGCCACAAATTTGACAGTTTAAATTATGTAATGCGCTGTACTGTTTAGCTGAAAAATGTATTCATCAGCTAGAAACATAGCAGGCATTCCCATCCATTTCTTTTTTTTCTATAAAAGATTCTTACCAAGGCCATTGATGCTTATTGAAAATGCCTTTCCAATGGATTTTTTTTCATCTTACGCAACAGACTTGACAATATTTAGTGAGGCATGGTGTCTCTAAAAGAAATGACTAATGTGTCTTGAGCTCCCTCTCTTGACATTTTATTATCCTTAAAAAATATTCCTGCCAATGGGGCATATTCCGTGTGGTATTTTGTGGTTGTTTTATTGCATATTTAGAGGGGGGGAAAAGGCAGGGAAAGAAAATGTGACATTTCTCACAAAGAACTATACGATGCAGTGCAAATATGATTTTCTTTGTCTAATTTATAATGCTGAGAGATTACAAGTTCGGGGAAATAGAATTTAGATGTTGATTCCTTTGGAGAAGGTGCCTCATTTCCTTAATTATATCAACGTTCCTGTTTAGCTTTAAGGGCTCTGATCTTTCATGGGACTGTGGATGCTGGTTGTGTGGCAGTCAGAACTGACTGCTAAGGAAGTACTGGACTTTGAAGCGAGTCAGAAAACATTTTGTTAGCAAGATGTAGGTCAGATTGAAAGGAATAAAAAGCTAATGTGAAATAAATTGCTTGCTTCTTGTCTTTGATGAGGCTTTGGTGGCTCATTGTAGCTGTCTCGTTCCCTTGCTACTGTCACAGTTTTCATTACTGTAGTTCTTTTACTTCCATGACCACTAGTGACGAACTTGCAACTGAAAGAGGGCTTTCTGCAGTATTTTTGATAGATGTGAGTACAAAGAAGGAGGAGGTCTCTTTTGTTCCTGGCTGGTGCAGATGGGGTGAGTTTTCTCTCTGAGGATTCTTTTAAAACAAACAAACCAACCCTTTCATCTGTTCGAATAACCCCCCCTAAGAAAAAATAATTACAGCCAGGAGGTTTCTGCTGCTTGTCTTTAATCTTGTAGACTTCAGGAAAGGTGCCTGCTGATTCTGTCTTATCTTTTCTTTCAGGACAAGTGCTCCCCTTTCATCTCTGTGCTCTTTTGTCTGCTCACATACAAAATCCAATAATGACAGAAGTGGCAAACACTGGTGAAGCCCACCAGCTCAGGGCAGTGCTAATTTCCCATTTGCTCTCTTCCCATGTACAACTTATACTGCAGGCAGTGAGTGGCCTGATGGTTCTTAAGTACTTTCCAGTCAATATCTGAAAATCTGTTGTTGGTTCCAAATTGTTTGAATAAAGTACTTTAAATGTGGGGTTTAAATTCTGTCAGGCTGGAGGCTGGGCAGCATCATTATTGGCTCTGTATTTAGTTTAGGGAGATGGTGATAGTAGGAGAAACAAATATAGAAATAAAACAAGAAATCTGAGTGTGATATTCTCTTTACTAGTTTGGATGGGTCTGTAAGGAGATGAGTTGGCTGGCTGAGCTGTATTATTGTAAGTAGCATTTCAGATGGACTGTAAGAAATAGCATGTGACAAATAGGTTGCAACCTATAGGTGCTCTGACCCTCAGCCTGTTGTTTGCAAGTCCAGAAGCTGTGTTCCTTTCTCTTGGTATGTGACAGAATACATAAAACTACACTGAATAATGCAGTCAAGATTTGGGCGAAGATTACATCTTCAGATTTTGGGAGGTAGCATACTAAGTCACTTCAGTGCCTGGGAAAATATCAGTGGAACAAAGTGCTGATATATCTTTGACTTAGGTTTTATTGGCAGGAAGACGTAAGATATGTCTTCTAGTTTCAGTTTGTTTAACTACTTTTTTGCTGACCAAGCCAACGAGGGCATAGATTTTGCACTACTACTAAGTGCTTAGATTTAGTCACTTGTCATCCAAAGTGAAAAGAGCTTTGTGTGTGTTTAATGTATTTTTTTCTTCTCTTGGCATTCAGCGTTTTCTCATAAATAAGCTAATACATAACCTGCTTTTCTTTTGATTCTGGTTATTTCTTCCTTTTAGCATGCCTTGTGTGGTTTCTGCCTTGAACCACCAAGCACCAGACTCTACAGATAAATTTGCTTGTGATGTCTTTTCCAATAGGTGGAGGGAGAAGAACAAGGAACTCTTTTCCTTTGTGTGGTAGTCTGTTAGAGCTGGATTACATTTCTGTATCTCTTGAGATGCAGAGGCACAGTGCTTAGCTGAGCATCCTTCCTGCTAGGATACATGCATGGACGCGTGTTCCTTAGACATGTTACCTGTGCTCCTCTGTGCCTGGAAGGCATGAAGGCTGTCTCAAGGGGTGTCTGAGTTTTTCTGGGATAGATGTTCCCTGTTCTTCCCACCGAGAAAATCATGCTAGAGACCTGCTGGGCACCAAGAAATTTAGTAGTGAAGCTGTCACCTGATGGTGATGAGCAGTTAAATATGTTAAAATTGTGACCAGCATAGTCTACTATAATATGATCAAACTGTGTTGCAAATGTAAAACTCTTTTTTGGAATTAAATTTGTAGATCACTGTAGATCTGATGATATTAAACTTGAATTGTGTTGATTACGCTCTTACTGCTGCAAGCTTGGTCTCAGGCCTGGGGAGAGTTGAAATAAAGAGAAATGCCTAGTGGTGAAAATGGTTTAGGTTACTGTTGCTGTAGTTGGAATTTAGAATATATTAAGCTATGGAATTCTAGCATTAGAAGCACCCAATAGCAAGAATCCAGTTGAAGTAACATGTTTTGTTTAGTGGGGTATTTAGTCATATCAGTTTTAGGCCTTGATAGCTTGGATTCTCTTTTCAGACAGCACAACTGCATCAAAAGATGCACCCCTATGGAAAATAAACAAAATAAAATGAGGTCCCAGGTTAGTGGTATTTCTGTGATTGTGGTTTTGTGTATTTAATTTCATGCAGGAACTCTGACTACTTATAAAAGCAATAACTGAACAGATGCTTCAAAAATGCTGTAGGTCTCTATTGGAATCCCACTTGTAGACACAGAAGTGTGCAAGTTCCTGCTTAAGTGATCAAAACGTACTCTTTACTGATATGACTGCCAGTTGTCTCTTTGAAATGCTTTATCTATCTCAGTCTCCTTTCTTTTTTCTCCCAATCTCTGAAATTGGAAATTGCTGTATTAATTATTTCGATTAGGATGGAGGCTGTTGCATCTGTATTTCAATAGACAAATTTAAAGGAGCTGTAACTTGCAGTTGAGCTGCATTGAGGCCTGAATTTTACTGTGACAAGTTACACTTAATTTGGATTATTTATCTATAAAACTTTCAAATCTTTTCCAGTTGGTGGATTTTCCTGGCTCTTTGAAGTTTTTATTTTACAAAAACATTTCAGTTTTTGTCAGGATGAGTTATATGGTAGTGAAGCCTTTCTTATTTACTTGATGATAATGCCATGTGTTGGCTGTCAGTTGGCTGTCTGTCCATGTTTCTGACTATTGAAATTTTGTAAGCAGCAAGATAAGAAGTGTTCTCATGTAGGAGCATTAAGGAGATTCTGAATAGTTTCCTTAGGAGAGAGATGTGTATTGATATCCAAAGTTGAATGCCTGCTGCACCTTCCAGGCTATTTATTAGGAAGATCTGTTTCTGAATTAGTAAATTGAGGTGATTTTTGGGTAGAGCTGATAATTAGCTCATTTATACAATGAAGTTGTCACCTTTGACAGAGCTAGTAGTCTCTTTCAGACAGTCCCCAAGCTTACTTGAGTCCTACGTGTTTGCGCTGCCTTCATGTGAAACTCTCTGTATGTGTGGTAGATGCATACATTTTCGGTGTATTTAATGTTAAGCATATTTGTATTCCTAACTTAACTTCTAAGATTGAGAGGGTAGGAAAGCACTGTGAAAGCACAGGTTAGTATCCAGCTGAAACATCATCCTTCACCTGTTGTGCTTTTGTTATCTATTTTAGAAGAGCGTTCTTCACTCACACACAGCATCTTTGTCGATTTAAAATAAGATTTCTGTGTATAAGCAGAGTGCAATGAGCCTAGAATTGATGGTAAACTTAGAAAAAGCAACTTTGCAGCTTTTGGTGCTTGCTGTAGGATGGCTTTCCCTAGCTGTCTTTGCTCTGTACGCGCCTTAACAACCACAACGCTGTTACGCAGTCGGCCGGTAGAGGGCAGTGTGTTCATGGAGACGTGTCCTTGTCCCGGTCTGCTGTCACTGCTGCAGATAAAGCAAGGCCGCTGCTTGTCACAGAAGCTGGCCTGATTTTATGGTCCTTTGAAGCCATCTGATATCCCTGTAAATGCCAGAGGTGTATTGCTGTGATGTAGCTATCTGACAGTCTGAGTCAACAAGGTGATGACCAGAACCAGAATTTCTCTGAACAAGCTTCTTTATGTAAATAGAGGTTGGTTATGGGTCTGGGTAATCAGTCTAGTAATAGTATTCCTGTGATAAATGATATAAGTATATAATAATAAATAAAAACCAAGTTTCATATGACTAATTGTATTTCTCTTACTCTTTCTAGTGTTGGGTTTTTCCTTGCTGACCTTCGGTTACCATGGGTATACCAGTCTTCATACTTGCTGGTCTCCTTGTGCATTTTGTCTTCATGGCCTCTATTTTTGACATCTACTTCAGCTCCCCTCTGGTTCATGGTATGACTCCTCAGCAAACTCCACTGCCACCTCCAGCAAAGCGCCTGGTACTCTTTGTTGCTGATGGTCTGCGGGCAGATTCTCTGTTTGAATTGAACAGCAACAATACTCCCCAAGCACCTTACCTGCGGTAAGTCCATCCGGAAATAATTTGCATCCAAAAGGCTTAATTTCTGGAGGTCGTTATTTGTAATGCTGGAAAGAGTTCTCAGAGGAATAAGAGAAACAAGGGCAGCTTTGGTGTCTTGGTACTTCCTTCTGCCTTTGAAATGACAAATTTTTGCAGTTGGTTTTTTGCAGCATCGAGAATTTGTCCCCATCTCTAGGAGCAGTGGTATGTAGCAGCTAGGAAAGAGGACATTCTTGTCATCAAGTGTCTTCGTTTTTCAGTTTCAGTAATTCAGCATTATTGTAATTTCTGGTGATAACACAAACCGTACATTAGTTTGTGAAGTCTGCACTTCTGCTGCCTTTGTTTTACTTTGTCCTCTTTTAAAATGTATTCAAGTCAGAAATTGTCACTGGTGCTGAAAGAATGCTGGAGAGTGGAAGGGAAAAGCTGGTTCCAACCCCCCTGCCACAGGCAGGGACTCCTCTCACTAGACCAGGTTGCTCAAAGCCCCACCCAGCCTGGCCCACTTGGACACTGAGCCACTGACTGCAACTCTCTGAGTGAGGCCGTCCAGACAATTCCTTATCCAGTGAATGGTCCATCCATCAAATCCTTTTTTTTTTTTTTTTTTAATTCTATTTGGCGACCAGGATATTGTGTGGGACAGTATCAAATGCACAAATTTACACAAATTCAGTTAGATTACGTCAGATGCTTTTCCTTTATCCACTTAGGCTGTGACTCCATCAGAAAAGGCCACCAAGTTTGTCAGACATGAGTTGCCCTTGATGAAGCCATCTTGGTTACCACCAATCACCTCATCTTTGTTTTCTGTGTGCCTTAGTAATGCCTTTAGGAGGATCTGTGCCATGATCTTGGCACATGGGGTGTTATGTTTCCCCTTTTCCAATCAGTGGGAACTACACCAGATTGCCATGACCTCTCAAATATAATGGATAGCTGCTCAGCAATGTCATCCCCCAGTTCCCTCAGAACCTGTGAATAGATCCCATTGGGTCCCATGGACTTTTGCACCTTCTAGTTCTTTAGATGGTCTTGAACCTGATCTTCACTTACAGCAGGCAGATCTTCCTTCTTCCTGTTCTTACCTCTACTTTCTGCAACTTGAATGGTGCAGCTAGAGTCCTTGCCAGTGAAGACTAAAGCAAAGAAGTGACTGAATACTTTGCTTTCTGCATATGCCTCGTGACTATGTCTCTGATTTCCTTTCAGAGAGGGCTTACGCCTTCGCTGGCCTTCTTTTTAATCACTATTGTATCTGTAAATATTGTTTCCTTTATGTCCCTGGCTAAATTTAATTCTGTCTGGGTTTCAGCTTTCGTATCTTGATCCCTGGCTTTTCTGACAACTTTTTTGTAGTCCTTCCAGGTAACTTGTTCCTACTTCCACTCCTTATAGACTTTCTTGTTGTGCCAAAGTCCAGGAGCATCTTGTTGATCCACAGAAACTAAACTTCCTGGCATTCTTGCCTGCCTTCCTTTTTCTTGGAATGCACTGCTGCAGGGCTTGGAGGAGATGGTTCTTGAATGTTGACTGGCTTTCTTGGGCCTTTCTTCCCTCTAGAACTTTATCCCATGTCACCCTGGCAAGCAGTTCCCTGAAGAGGTCAAAGTCTGTTCTCCTGAACTCCTGAGTAGCAAGCTTGCTGCGTATCCTCTTTTACACCCCAAGGATCTTCAGCTCCACTGTTTTGTTGACACTGTGGCTGAAGCTGGCTTTGAGCGTCACGTTACTTACCAGCTTCTCCTCGTTGATGAGATAAGGTCCAGTATAGCACCTTTTCTTTTGAGTTCCTATACCACTTGGAAGAGAAAGTTATCATCAATGCATTCCAGGAACCTCTTTAATTCTGGCGCCCTGCTGTGTTTTCCTTCCAACAGATATTGAAGTGGTTGAAGTCCCATGAGGACCGTCTTTGAAGAACATGAAGCTGCTCCTGTCTCTTTACAGAAGGCCTCATCCAGTCAGTCTTTCTGGTTGGGTGGCCTGTAGTAGACCCCTGCTACGATGTCTCCTTCCCCTGCCTTTCCTTTAACCTTAACCCATAAGCTCTCTGTCAGCTCCTCATCCGCCCCCAGGTGGAGCTCCATGAATTCCAACTGGTCATTGATGTAGAGAGCAGCATTCCCTCCCCTTCTCCCCTGCCTGCTTTTCCTGATGAAGGAAGAATACCCATGTATTCCTACATTCCAGTTGTGAGAGCCATCCCACCACGTCTCAGTGATGCCAGCCTTTGTAGGCATGCACATGCTTGTAGCTCTTTGTGCTTGTTCCCCATGCTCCGTGTGTTAAGTGTAAAAGACAATGAAATGCCATCTATGGATCTCTTGCGCTCTCTTGCTTGTGTATTAAAAACAAGTGTGAGCTTGTGAGATAATGAAAAAGAAAATGTTGCTGCATGCTGTGTGCTGTAGAAGGTGAGGCAGTCCAGGGCACATAAAGTCTATTTTTTTGCACGTTTGTTACTAAGTTCCATGTGTTCATTTTCTTATTTGCTTTAGTTTGTGGCATAACAGATAATTTCTCATGCAGGTGTTCTGTTAAGGAGGAAAGATCACCTTTAAATGAACAAGATCTACTCATGTAGCAATTTGCTATAAATAAAAGCAATGTTTTTTACTAGGTATATAAAGTTAATAAAGATTCATTGGGTTTAGAGCAGATTGATGGCTGATGTATGCTAAGTACCCAGGCTTTTCTTCTGCAAATGTTCTTGAAAAATCTGTTATCCATCAGCGTTCAAGTAGCTGCAAGGGACAGCAGGTGGTGTGTTCTGAACTGCTGTGATGCTGCTGCTAAGGACTACAAGAAAAAGGTTCTAATCCTATGTCATTCATACGTATTACTATATCATATACATCACTGCTATGGGTAACTAATGTTTGTACTATCAAGGAAATGATTGGTTTTTTTTTAATTTCCTCTCAATGAAGGGCTTTGAAATAATTCAAAATGACTAAATGAATTTTGAGAAGGTAAAATACATTCTGGCTGTAGTCTGCTTGCCTTGTGTTATTGTTAACTTCAGGTTTGGTAATACAACCTCTCAGAAGCAAAGATAAAGGATTACTTTTTGACTTTAGCAAAATTGATTTGGGAAGTAATCCAAGGGAGTAGAAATCAAAGTCTAATTAAAACAATTTCCTACCTGTTGTGAGAGTGAAGTGAGAGGAGAGCCAAAATTCTTTTATCTTTGTCTTAAGTCTTCCGCTAATGTGATACATCTTGATCAATCTCCATTGAGAATAAATTAGAAACCACTTCAGCTGATACTAAAATCCTTTTTTTCAAAATAGTACCCGTTTTCAACATGACCTGTCTTAAAACCTGGCTGAGATGATAGCTAGGAATAACATCAGAACATTGTATGACCTTTTTCATTTTTCACTGTAATATTTGAGCTATTCCAAATAGTCTGTGAACTTTAAAGTAGGCCTGAGAATGTGAGATCCAATATGAGTTTAAAAAAAAAACTAACTATGAATCCAATGTGCATATTGAAGCCTTAAATGTTAGCTTTTAGTTAGATTCTTATTAATGAGAAATACGTTTGAACTTTAGTGTAGAATTTCGTAATAACAGCTGTATAAAATCAAAGGGGATCTGTCTGTTAAAAGTGCAAAACATGAACTTGGAGTCTAGTTAGTCTGTATTCATGTTTAATAACAGTAGCACATTTTGTGACTTATGCCTCAAGGAACAAAAACAACTTTTCCTAGTGGTTTTGATTCTGCAAATTGCTTTGGATTTGCTCAGAAGATTATTTTTCTTTTTTTTCTTCCTGAACTTTACTGTATGATATGGCAGGGTGCATTTTGATTTCTTTTCCCTTCACCCCCTGCCCTGACAGTGGGCAGTAAATGTTTCTCTGCTTCCAGAAGATGGAGACAAGAAAACAGCCTATAATAATGCTCACTTTCGTGCTCTCTGGCACATTCCAGCTGTTTAAGTCTTCAGCAGACAAGAATAGTTTGAGGTTGTTTCTCATGCTTGGGCTTTGTCTTCTGTTTTCTTTGTTGGTTTTTTTTTTTCGGTTGTAGTTACTGAGCATACAAAATTCCTAGACAACTTCTGTATTTATTATATATGTTGAGAATGTACTTTACTTCACATCACTGTATCTGCAGAAACCCAGGGTTTGCTTGTGTTTTTTGTGTTGCCCAAATGAGTTGTACCTTACACTTGCATTTGGTTTATAGATTTTTGTTGCTGGCTTCCAAGATTCAGCGTGGATAAAGGAGACAGACGTGGTCATGAGAACTCATTATAGCTGAGCATATCTAATGAGTAAAGGAAGATTGTACTTTCAAGCTAAATGGAAGGAGCAAAGAAAAGCAATGCCAGACAGCAACAATCTGGGTGTTGAAGTGGGGGAACAGCCATATTAGAAAGCAGCAGAAAGAAACTATACATTAATTCTGAATGCTGTAAATCATCAGCTAGTTTCTTTGAAGCGCTGGTGGTCCACACAATAGCAGTATTGTCTGTGGAGTATTATAACACAGAGACATTTGCAAGTTAGTGTTCAGTTTGTATTCCTGCACAGCAGGCTAAACCAAAAATCTGTTTTTAGTCTGGGCTTTCTATATTTCCTGCCTAGCGTCTACCTGTTACTCCTTTTGTCTGCAAATTGTTTAACTTCAAGAAGTTACAAGCATTAACTGCTTTGTGCCTTGTTTTCAGTGCTATTCTGGAGAATAATGGCAGCTGGGGCATCTCTCACACCCGAGTCCCAACAGAATCCAGACCAGGGCATGTTGCACTGATAGCTGGGTTTTATGAAGATGTCAGTGCAGTTGCTAAAGGTATGCCAGCCCCGAAGGTTTGAACACTGTCCTCCAAATTTTAGTGATGTGGAAAATTTCTTATTGGATGTTTTTTTTACTGTTGATGGTTATAAAAATAAATAGATTAATGTTTTGTAACACAGTAAAACTTAGCACCCTAATACTGAAAGCAGAAGAACCTTTTGGATTCATCTTACTGTTTTAAATTTTAATTTGAGATGTGATGTTGCAAACGAGTAGAAACTGCAGTGCTTTAGCTGAACTTTTGTTAAGTGGAGTTAGCAGCAAAAAGTGAAAAACCTCATCTGACAGTGGTTGCTGCATGCTTGGTGGTTAATAATGTGATACAAACCTTCAGATTACTGACTTGTTTTCTTGGGTGCTTCAATGCATTCGCCCACAAACTTCTGCAATGTTGTCTGCCTCTTTTGGAAAAGGGAAAGTGGGAGAAATTATGCGATCTTGTCCAGACTTCTAATCAAAAGATTCTTCCTTCTGACATCTGCCACGAATGTGGGATTGGTATGAGTTACTGTTAAGAGCATCTTCAAATTTGTTAACTGCTTTATCACAGAAAGAAAATCTCAAAGGTTTTTTTGTGAAGGAGTAGAATGTGGCTGCTGGTAATGTAATACACATGTGTGTTACTGCATAAAATGTTGAAAGCTGCAATCAAATAAAGGGGGATTTAGAATTCAGGAAAATTATTGCTTTGTAGATAGTAAACCAGCTGTGTTTTATGCTTGAATCCTTGCATGATGAGATTGCCTTAGGTTTTCAGCTTATTTCTTGATGAATGGGAGTCAAGTGCAAATAACAGTAAAGAAGAGTAAAACTGAGAACCATAGCTGGATTTTGTTGTGTACGAGGAATACTCTAGAACTAAAAGACTGCATGGACTGTTAGTCTTAGCTGTCAGTGAGATCTTTTGGCAATCCACGTTGAAATCCGTGTATGTTTTTTTTAACAGGATGGAAGGAAAATCCAGTGGAATTTGACTCAGTTTTCAATGAAAGCAAATACACGTGGAGCTGGGGAAGCCCAGATATTTTGCCAATGTTTGCAAAAGGTAGGGTTTAAATTTCATGAGCTCTCTTCACAGTTGTCAGATAATAAAATAGACATGCTTGCAGTTCTCAAGTTAAAGAAGTTGAATTACGAATTTCCATTTTATTTTGTATATCTGCTCTAATTTGTGAATTCAAGACCAGCTGGAGAAAAAGCTAACTTTTAAAGAAGATATCCTTATTTACTCATTGTTTAAATGGATTTTACTTAATTCTGTATACACATTGAAGGAAAAACACCCATAGTTAAAAAAGTCATGGTTTTTCTTTGGTTTAAAGTTCTTCCAGGTCTGCAGCTGAGGCTTTTTCCTTGTCTTGCATGCAGCCCCCAGTGATTCAGATGATAAAATTGGAGCCATACTTTGTTAGTGTCTGTGCTGGAGAAGTGGCTTATTGTAGGCTTCAATTCCAGAACAGTTATGGATAAAGGGAAGAACTATAGGCAAGTAGGAACTGCATGGTATTATTCCTGAAACCTGAGATATTTTTAGTGTGCAGTGTGTTGAAAGTCCAGTCAGCCCAATGGGCTGGTCTCAGGACATACAGAGTGCTGAGCAATATTTCAACAGCTTGAAAGGTCTCGAGATTTAATTTCATTCTTCTCTCGGAAGAATGAGAACAAACTAGTGGCATATGCTGCTGTTTTGTTTAAATGTTGACATAAATTAGAAAAATAAGATTGGGAGGATAGCAGTGGAATCTAATATTGGTTTAGAAAGAGCATCTGTCATATTTCTCATAATAACTATTGAACTTTTTTTGAACTCGGTCTCTCTCCATCCTCTCTGTATCTCCTTTGCCACACACACCTCTTTTTGCTGTTCCTGGGTTGATCCATATAAATTTTATGATAAACTACCAGGAAATATTTTTACAACTTATGCTTTCCCATGACCTCAGCTTACAGCTTTTATTTAGAAATATTGTGGTGGTGGCTGGGGAGCGAGGAAAGAGTGTATGCTGCCCTTGCACAGATTATTTGTATTTCAACAGATGTCTTGGGAAAATATTTGAGGAATCCTAGAATTTCTCAAAGCCTTGTCCTTTTGTGGGTTTTCTTTGATAAGCAGGGGACTGGAAACAGCTTTGATGTTTTCTGCGGTGATGTGCAAGGGTAATGCCATCTAGTTCCCTTATGGCTCAGTATGGCTTCTGTGTGGCACCAATGGAATTATTTTTTTGATTTCTCTAAAGCTGAACTGCCCAAGGCCTATGACCGCACTGATTGGAGAAGGTTTAGTGCGGCTCTGTTGGAGAAGTAGGTGCTGTTTGTGAATCACTTTGTCATGGTAGAAAGATGGTTTAATTTTAAGTGGAAAAAGGTATTTTACCTCTTCTTCCTTCTCTCCAATATAATCTTTATCTGCAAGCAACCTATTTTTGGTCAAGCTAAAGATATTCACTGTTTCTTTATAACGAGCTTCTGAAAAAGAAAGAGAGAGAACTTTGGCTTTTATATCACAGAAATGAATGGAATCAATTATTTATGAATGTGTAGATTTCACTTTTTTAAAAGTTAAAAAGATGGGGGAAGCATGGCTTAAATTCGGTCCCTCTTTCCATGTTGGTAGTGAGTAAATCTTCTGAATTTTTATGTTGGTTTTGTTATCGTCTCGAAACGTTCAGAATTCCATTAACTGTTACACCGTTTTCGTTGCATGATGAATAAGGAATACATGACACAACCTGAGTTTTGTCGTGGAGTAAAAAATGCCGTTTGCTGTCAGTATGTGTCTTTGAGTCCTTTTCCTGTCACAGAATAAATATTTCAAACAGTTGTAGACTCTGTAGAGAAGGTCAATGAAATACTCGTGGATTTCTCAGTGCAAAACACATCCACATCAGAATTGGTGGAAGGCTGTGTGATTAGAGCTATTCTGAGAAAATGACTAAATATCTCTGGAACGGGCATGCAACTTATTTAATCCAAAGTAGTATTAGAAGGTGTTAGCTTCCAATATTTCCAAACTATGCTAATTCAGTATTTTAATTTTAATCTTTTTTTTTTGTTATTCCTAAGATATTTTTAGATTGAGTTTGATGGGACATGCAAATAACATACTTTTACAATGTCTGTTTCCAAAATGCTCTTTAAAACTGGGTTTTTCTTCTAAACTTGCCAAATCTGAAGATTTTGTCTGCAGCGTGCCAGGTCTGTACTGTTTTGTCATTGCTTTGGGCAGCCGAGGTTCCATTGCTCAGCACAGAGCAGAGGAGCTGAGGGGAGGCGCGATGGCGGCTGCAGCTCCTCACAGGGAGCGGAGGGCAGCGCTGAGCTCTGCTCTGTGTGACAGCGACAGGGCCTGAGGGAACGGCATGGAGCTGCATCAGGGGAGGGCAGCTGGGGTCAGGGAAAGGGTCTGCACCACAGAGTGGTGGGCACGGAACGGGCTGCACAGGGCAGCGGGCACAGCCCCAAGTACCAGAGATCAAGAAGCATTTGGACAGCGATCTCAGCCATTGGGTTTGGATTTTGAGTGGTGCTGTGTGGAGCCACAGATTAGATTTTGTGATCCTTGAGTAACTTTAAGCTTGGGATGCACTATATGCTTTTTCTCTGAATTCACAAATTCAGGAACTAGGAGCAGGACTAGCGTTGTTGGTTTTTCAGCCCTGAGAATGGTACTATATAGACAAGGAGGGCATTCAGGACTAGGCTTCATTGGGGTTATCCTGGAGAGCTTGTGCTGCTTCAGTATTTATGTTTGGATTGAAACTGACCTGTCAGTTTCCTCTTTTTGGTGTGCTGTAGAAACAGTGGGCTAGAATAAAGCCAGATTTTTCACACTGCTCATCTGACTTTGTCTGTGTGTTGTTTGCTCAGTATCTTACTGTCTTCGCACCTCTTAATGGTTTTTCAGGGTTTTTTTGCCTCTTTTGTACATATAAAATTTGCCAACAGAAGTCTCCTGCTAGCGTGGATTCTGGTGACTCATGATAGACTAGTCATACACAAAAACTGTCTTGTTAGTGGAATGATAGCTTTGATTTCCAAAGAATATGATTTTATTGCTGGAGGAGAATTTTATTCCTAACTAATATTTGAATCTTGATATGAAGGGCTGCAATGCCAGGCAGAATTCTGCAGTAAGAACAGCTGATAATCTGGTATGGGAGTTTCTCGCAGCTCCAGTGGCTTCCATTAGGCACCTACAAACAGTTGAGTTCTCTACTTCTAAATAATGTTTTCGTCCTCGGCTGCTATCTATTTCCCTAACCTATCTTTTCTTCCTTCTCTGTTGGCCCGTGGTATCAGGCATATTGTTGCCTACCACTTCTTAAAAGACAGAAATATATTATGAAGTACATTACCTAGAAGGTTGTTTTTTCTTATTTCTTGTTTTATAAAACTTGCTAGGCGTGCCAAATCTCTCCTCATATGGCCTCATTTTGCCACTGTGTTTCTCTTTAGCAATGCAAGGTTGGTAGTTTTTTGGTTTTTGTTTTTGTTTTTGCTTGTTTGTTTTTCTGTGGTAGAAATTGAAATGGATAAGTAGTTGATGTGTCCCTTTACCCATTCTGCAAATGGCAGGCTTTGGTCCTGTGCTTTGCAAAAACACGTCTTCAGATGTCCTGTAGTGCTGTGGAAGAACAGCACAGAACTCTATCCTCCTTTAATATTAGTCATTCTCACAGTGATTGCTAGAGCTTATTTCTTCTTTTGAATTCCTTTAATCCACCAAATTGTACTCCATAATTCATTTTTAAATGCCTTGGAGTATTATTTTTTTTTTCAGATTGAGAACTGCAGTGAGTTCTAGTTTATAAGCAGTACTAACATCTTCTGAGGGGAAGCCAGGGGGAACTGAAGATTTGTGCTGGCTTTCATCTTTCTAGTCTGAAAAACCTGCATCACTTGTGTGGGTTTGGATGTAATCTTAGTTAAACAGCTCCCTTATACTGGGGTGTTAGTCCTTTCCAGGCCTGGGAGCTTACAAAATGGCATTATATAATTGTAACATCCAGAAAATCAGCTACAAGGTTGCTGGCCTTCAACTGATAGAAGAACATTTCCCCTTTGGGAGTTTATGTAGTGGAAATAGAAATAGCATTCCCAAGCTGTAACAGCTCAGCCAGTGACAGAAAGATTTCCTTAAACTGCACCTAATTTCAGATCTTTCCATAACTTCAGAAGTTAACTTTCTTCCAGGTCTTCATCATCTTTTTTCCACCTCTTTCTCTACTTTGCTTTTTGGAAATCATTTTGTCCAGATGCTGTGTTTTCGCGTCGGTGGGCATCGTGTTGTGCTATGAAGCTGGAACACAGTCCTGTACTTTTCCCCTTCAGATTTTGAATCCATATTTTAAAGATGCAGACTTGGAATACTTTCTTTTTGAAGGTGTTTGTTGAAGTTGTCTGCTTTGTTCTCAATACTATTGTCTTCAAGAATTAATAGACAGTAAAGTTGCATTCCTCCTATTGCCTGCTCTGTGCATAATGTATTATCATCTCCTCTGCAAAAGGCCCAGGCATTCAGTTTAACAACCAAATACTAAGTACAACTTCTTAAACAAGAAACAGGGAAGAAAAAAAGCACAGAATGTGTATTGAAATGTGGCTCTGGATGTATTTTTTCCTGTGAGAAGTTTCTTAGTGAAATTCCTTGTTTCAAAACTAATTCGTTTTACTTACTTTAACTGGAATTTATTCAATTTCTATTTGCTTTTCCATGCTTTTTCTCACCTGAGTATACTAGATAACATTGTTCCTCACCCCCCTCAGTGATGCTGATAAGCTAATGAGTTAAAATGATATCCAGGCTTAAAAATATAAATATAGGAGTAATTTAAAGAGAGACCCTTTGAATTCTCTCTCAAAGGATTGTCATTCTTGATGGATTTGTGCTCCTATGCATCACTGTTCCTGTATTTTTGACTGATAAAAGGAAGAAAACTTTTCTTTCTGTTGTTTCCTAATACTCTAATCTGTATTGTTTTTGCAGGTGCTACTGGAGATCATGTTTATACATTTTGTTACACAGCTGAAAGTGAAGACTTTGGAGCACAAGATGCAGCTAAACTTGATACCTGGGTATTTGATCATGTTAAGGTGAGCAAAGAATCTTTTTATACTTCGCCTATGTATAAACTGGATGACTATCATAAATAATGTCAATTTTACCCTAGATCTAGAAATTGGAAATTTTTTGAAGCAGTATCTATTTAAAAAAAAAAAAGCCTGACTTACCATGAGCAGTAACAGATTATGATATGTCATTCAACGCAAATTAAACTGACTATAAGCACTGCCTTAAGAAAAGCCAAGAATATTTTTAAACATAAATTTGCATGTTATTTGAAACCCATCTTTTAGAGTACTACAAGCCATTTAAAATCTTGTGTTTTAGTTAATTTCATAATTGGTATTACGGCATAGGATAAACAAGTCTTATTAGAAATCAAATGGACAATATTATTGACTGAAGTTATGTCAAGATTCTGTCTATCCATTATGACCATCGTGTTGCTTTCCTGATGCATGTAGTTGAGTTCTGATCATTTGAGGCTCATGTATGCTGTGGCTACCAAAGGAGGCACAGTTAATTTTATGGAAAAGGCAAATTAGGCCCTGAAGCAGGATAACTCATTCAGGTGGTGCTCTGCTCAGCTTGACAGACATTTGTGATACTGTCATTGTTTGCGTTAACATCCAGTGCACATCTGTGTCTGTGTTACTGTGTTGCAGTATCTGTGAATTCCTGTATTTATGTTACGCTGTGCTACTTCACCAGTCCCGGATTGAGAAGTACTGGTAGTGGTTATTTGTGTATCAATAGTTATATAAATGGAGTAGTTAAGGCTGCACTTTTAGCTTTGTGATTCTCACAGTAACACTAAATGTGTTTTAATGAACTTATTCCACAAGGCTGTATACATGAGCTAACTAGTGTAAATGAAACCAAAACTGAAACAATATATAAATCAAATCAGTATCTGTCTGCACTGAGAAATGAAGGCTACGTCTGCCTTAAGCTATGGTGTGAGGTGAAAAAGTCCATTATAGTTCAGTAGTTTTCAATGCAAGTGATTTCCTGAGTTTGCAAGCAGAAACATGATGTGTTTTGTTTTCTGTGGTTGTTTTTTTTATTTTTCTAACACCATCCTTTCTAAACTTGCACTTGTCTCAGGTTGTATAATGTTTATGAATAATAAAAGTCAGTTATTCTCAAACAGTTGTCTTAAAGTTACAACCTGCTGTCGTTTGGAGTTACGCAGCTTTATGTGGATGGTGCTTCAAAGCACCTAATGGCATTTCAAACAATAATGCCATTACTGATGACTTTCCTTAGAACCAGCACCTATCATTATTTTCAAGACTTACTTTGCCTAACTAAATGTCGTGCCATGAATGGACAGGACTTGACTGACTATTGTGAAGTGCTCATTCTATTAATCATCTCCTCAGTTACACATCAGTGATTATTTCAGAAGTGTGAAACTTGAGGCTACTTGAAACAGATGTCACTCCTGTTGTAACTCCAGCAGCTGTCTCAGCTACACTGATGAGAATATATACTTAGCAATGACAATTCGCTGAAATCTGATGTCTGCTTTTTCTACAACATTTTTTTCCTCACTTTAATTTTATCTCAATACTTAATGGCACATCATTTGATTTTGAATTATGTTTCAGGTCCCTGCATTTCTGTCTTGTGCTCTAGGAAGTAGAATGAAAAGGTGTACTCCCTTTTTGTTATGTAGTCAGCATGTCCCAGGCGTCATGAGGACCTTCTGTGGCTTCCTCTGCCCCTCAAAAAGATGGAGATAAAATGGAGAATGGTGTGGGCTGCTAACTCTGGCTTCCTGCAATTGCATGTTCTCGTCAGAAGTGCAAAGTAGCAGTAACTCACTTGGTCAGGAGACGTGTAAACTCTAGTCTTTACGTCTATGGATTTTAAGAAGATTGCTTAAATCAAGAATGCAGGAAAAAATGTATAATTCTCTGTAGTTGCTGTAATGTCTGTTTGTTAGGGTCTGAGAAAACTGAGCATAGACTAAAACGTTGTGCATTTTTAATCTGCAGCTGGATCAAAACTTTGTGAAATTTTAATGTGTGGTTTAGTAGCTTATGGGTGGGCCAGAGCCATGTAGGTGTGGGGCTGTTAGTGGTATTTTTTTTTTCTTTTTTTTTCTTTTTTTTCCTATGAAATCTTTAAAATAATGAAGTGGCTAAGTGGAATTTGGCAGGATGTGATCCATCAGCTAGTTGGGTCAGTTAATAACCTTTATGTGGATCATACTTTGACTTTATGCTGAAAAGGAATTAGGGAGCAAATACTGTAAGACTAGGTGAACAGTGAAAGAAAAAAATGAAATTCTTTTTAGTTCTTTTTTATTCAGTTCTGTTTTTTAAAAATATTGGATAAAAGAATTTTCAGGATCCAACTCTTACACTTAGGACAAAATGATTAAGATATTCCAGGTGAGATGGATGAGTCTCTGACCACAATTTATCAACACCACAATGTAGAAAACACTTTTAAAATATTGAGTTGTCTTCTGGTTTAAATGGAGATACAGATAGCAATCTTTTTTTTTTCTTTTTTCTTTTTTTCTTATTTCCTGATGACTGTTGTACTGCTCTGGGCCCTTTGTTCTGGAAGCAGACCGGATCACGTCTTCAGACTGTGCCTTATATGTTGAGGACATATAAGCTGGGAGTTAGAGTCAGAACTGGATCATGCTGAACTTTGAGGTCCTGCAGACAGTGCCGTGACCTGGTGTGGATTTGAGTACAAATAGCTTTGCTCTCAATAGCAGTACAGTGGTTGAATTATTTATTTCTGTAGTGCTCTTGCATAAGCATGCTCAATTGATACAAAATCAGCGTATGTATTTTCATTCTGCCTTTGAACATTTGGTCGGTGTCTCAAAATGGCCATAACCATTCCAGCTCTCGCATGAGCACAGATCAGAGGGCACAACTTTGGTCATTCAACTTAATTAAGATGTCCTGGATTTATGAGTGAGGAAGCTCTGTGCAAAGGGAAGGTTTCAGTCTTTCTTTTTGTGCATCCATGCTGTCAGCGACAGTTTATCAGCTCTATGAACAGATTGTTCTTCCAAGGAGGGCTCAATCTGAGGGAACAAGGTGTCCCCAGCAACTTGGTAGATATCAGTTGAGTCTGTCTCTTGTTCAGGCATCAGTAAATTGGGATTTACTAGACCTTCTACGTAGTAAGCTTCTTTTTATTTTCTCCTATCCAGGAATGGATATGATACTAAGATTTCATCTGATACTAATATTATGGATGTTATAACCAAATTTTTCTTGTAATATTTTAGTTAGTACTTGCATTACAAGCAACTTTTCAGTTTATTGTGAATGTTTTAATTAGAAATTTAGTACTAGTCTCACTAAATTGCATATCAGTTGCAGCCATAAAAGTAGAAAGTTGGTTGGATTTGGGAAATGGGGATATCCACTTCTTGTAAAGCTTTTCAAAAGCATAAAAGTCACAGGAGAAATGAAGTTGAAAGAGAGTTCTAGCAGTAGCTTCCTGCATGAAGGAGGTCCAGTTAGAGTAGGATTCTCAGGCCTTCCTAATCACATTTGAGTACTTGTTCCAAGATTTGACTACACTCTGGTTTCAAAACCAATTAAAAAATAAGTTTCCTTATCTTATTTGAACTTTCTGTATTTTGTTTCAAATTGCCTGTTCCCTTCTTGTCTATCATCAAACCCTTCGAAGAGTCTGGCTCCATTTTCTCTTCAGCTTCCTAGTAGGTGGCTATAAATGGCTCAGAGATCTCCTTAAACAATTTATTTTTTTTAGCTTTGTAGTTTATTCCCATTCCCAAAACATGCTGAAGTCACTTGAAGGTAATATCACTGAACAGAGCAAATAAAAGTTAAGTAAAAAAAAAAATCAGAGGGACAGAAATATGTGATTAACATATAATGTTAGCTTGGGAACTCGTTGCCAAAGGTTTTGAGTTTTGTGAAGGAGTACCAAAACAAAAGGAAGCGTTCTAGCAGGCAATGAGGGCACACATGTTGGGCACACAGTTTGGCAACAGCTAGTGCAAGATTGTTTTTGCCCCAGCTGTTCAGTGTCCTGCTTATCAACTTGTGGCCTTTAGCAGCCTAGGATAACTCTGCAGTAAACTTCCTATTTACTTTTTTTTCCGTATGCAATTTTAAAAAGCTTCCATGGGAAAAAGTTTGCTCTTTGCTCTGAGAAAAGATCCCGCATCTCAAGTTACGTTTTCATTCCTCGTCTTGTCTTATTCTTAATTAGCTTGAGGTCAGGCAAACTGTTTTGGTTGCTGCTGCTCTGTGTTAGGAGGTGGCTGATGCTGGAGAGCGGGCTATTTTTGGAGTAATATGGGAAGCTCTCCAGTGAGAGAGACAAACCTTTGGCCTTGTTTTCCTCATGAAAGTTTCTTTTGCTTGCTTGGGTTGATATTCTAATACTTATTCGTATTTCAAGATGTAATTTCAGGTATTTCCTGTATCTGCCCCGATACATTATTTAATTAAAAATAACAAAGCAGAATTATGCTGTCTCCTGTAAATTATTGGTGTGCACTTGGAGACTTCTTTAGTTTGCGATCAAGTATGTGCAGGAAGACAGATCCATGAGGGAAGTGGAGACATCCATAAAAATAATTACACCGTTTTTAAGCCAATGTGATCAGATATTTTTTTTCTCGTGTTTTATTTAAAACATCTCAGCATTTAAAACAGCAACATCAAAAAATCTTAATGTAAGCTTTTTTTTTCTGAGAAACGCTGAAGTTGGCAGCATGCAAATAGGAATCTGAGACTTCTGTATGTTCAGGGATAAAGGGTGGAATTGAGTAATATCGTGGTATCCTGACACACCTTGCTATGGGACTTGCTGCCAGTTTGGTTTTCTGCTCGCTATGATGATTTTAGTTTACACAAGGTGTGAGCTTTAGTTTTTAGCAGTACCACCATGGTCATGCAGGTATACGGTAAGTTGCTTTTTCCTTTGGTGGCAGAAATGGTTCATTCTGCCCACATTTTCCCTAGGCTCCCGTGTGAAATTCAAAACAGTTTTCTCTGTGTTACTGTTACTTTGAACTAAACCTTACCCAACTTTGTTTCCTTGGGCATTTCAGTGACTAGGGAGATCATGTTGAAATAGCTGTCTGCCTGCATTTTGCATTGCTGTAATGTGGCTGGTCTAACACTGAATAGCCATGTCAAGACTCATTCAATCTCGGGAGAAGATCCCAACCCCCCGGCATCTGCCTCAGGGATGCTTAAGTAGGACATGTGCAAGGCAGATGCATCTTCTGTAGTTCTTGTATTTCCAAAGCGTGTCTTGTTTTGTTTCAATTTGATTTCTGCAAACGGGTTGCAGCTTAGTATTTTAGTTCTGCAGAACCTGCTTCCAAAGAAACACTATTGAGAACTTTGCTTCCAGCTTGAAGTGAGTAGGTATATAAAGCTGTAAGGAATGGTGCATAGTCGTGTTTATGTAAGAGGCAAGGAAAGGATACTGCACAGTTGTCTGGTATTTCTACCTAATGAGACTAGAAGAACAAAACAAAACACCTCAAAGGTGTTTCCCATCTTTGCTAAGTTGAAACTTTGAACTGATTATATCGATGGTGGCTGTCCTCCAATAGGTAAACCAGGAAGCAATCTTTCTTTCACAACTACCAGTATTATGACACAAAACCAGCTGAGTTTTAGTTTTAATAAGCTGCCTGCCATCTTTTTCCACTGTACTCAGATTGATATCTTATTGGCTTATTCCATACAGAGCTTCTTTAATTCTTCCAGAAGTAATCAAACATTGTTCTCTGCACTAAATGAAGAAAAAGTGGTCCTGTTCTTGCATTTGCTCGGCATAGATACGAATGGACATGCTCATCGGCCGTACTCAAAGTAAGTGGGGAGGTTAAGCTTATCATTCTTATTAGTGTTGGGTGCATACAGTCACTCTTTTTTTTTCCTTAACCTTGCTTTTTATCAAAAAAGACTTGCAGCCTTGAGGGTCTCTTTTGTAGGCCACATGTGGTAACATGATCACTTTTGGGCCAGTTGTTGTTTTAAGATCTTCTCTGCAGAAGTGACCAATTATTTTGCCGTATATCTCATGTCAGGTTATAATTCTCAAATCTGATTTTTTTAGCAGGTTCTCTAATTCACATTTAATCCTTGATGTAGAGAATAGTTGCATTTTCACGTGTAAAATTTAAACAGTGGGATTCACATAGCTGAAAGACTAAGATTTACAGAAAGGTTTATAGAAAACAGTAAGTTCAGAAAAACTGACACCAGAATTTGTCAGTCATGGTTTAGTTTTTGTGAGGCATTTGAATTAAAATTTTACATTTTTAACAGTGCTTATCATTGATTCACCTTGAAGTGAGGTATTTGAGAACTTCTGCTTTTACTTCCTCACAAGCTTTGAATGTAGGATTTTGTGCTTTTATTTTCTCTCGATCCTTTCACACTTCTGAAATCCTTGTTCTGATTTCCTACACATCATTCCTAAGTTCATACTTGCTGCATACTTCATGCTCTTTTTTGTTGTGATGTTAAAAGATAAAGTTTTCAAATTGACTTTAGCAGCAGCAATAAATAGAAAACTAGCTGGCCAGAAGTTAATCCTTGTCACTGTCTCTAAAAGGAGAAAATGAGTTTCTTGGTTTACCCTGTCTCAAACTCGGGGATCTGTGATAGTCTATGAATAACCTCAGGCCAGTTCTTGCATTATGAAATCTTCAAAAGTTGCTTTAAGCTAGTAACTAAACTTGCAATTTATGGTGTTTGATTTTTCCAGAATTTCTTATTGTTTGCTTAGCCCTTAATTTAGAATCACAGAATGGTCTGAGTTCAGAGGGATCTGTATAGATCATCCTGTTCCAGCACCTCTAACATTGGCAGGGCCACCTCCCACCGGATCAGATTGCTCAAAGCCCTGTCCAAACTGGCCTTGAATACTTTCAGGGATGGGGCATCCACAGAGGGGCAGTCTCTGCCAGTGGCTCACCACCCTCATTGTGAAAGAATCACTTCTTTATGTCTAATCTAAACCTATGCTTCTTTCAGTTTCAAACTGTTGCTCCTTATCTTGTCACTACACTCCCTCATAAATTTGCTTAATTGCTCTGGGTAATAAATTGTCTAATGTCAAGAACAGGTCAGGTATGTAATAAAGATAAAAATCCATTGAGACCGTAGTTCCAGGACTTTCAAACAGCAGCAAGTGGTATTTCACATTAGACTCAGAACAGGAAAGATTTTACATCTAGGATGCCTTTTGTTAGCTTGAGGTTTTGCGAGGAGTGAGGTTGTATAAATGCAAGGGACTGAACGTAATTTGTAAAACTTACTCTGTACCAAATGCAGAAGTCACCTGGAATCTAATAACTTTTTTTTTTTTTCTTTTCTTTTTTTTTTTTCTTCAGGGCATACAAGGAGAATATTAGAAAAGTTGATGAGGGGGTAAAAGAAGTTGTTTCAATGCTCGAAAGCTTCTATGGAAATGATGGAAAAACTGCATATATCTTAACTTCTGACCATGGAATGACAGATTGGGGTGAGCATTTTTAAATTTTGATAGTCTGCTGAGTTTGTGGTGTCTAGCTGGGTTACATGTGAACACTCCAGGAACCCAAAAGTGCCAGAACGTGTTATCGTGCAGCATGTGAATATGAATGAACAGTCCATGCACTTGAACAAGCATAGACACACCATACGTGCAAACATGTATTGGTATGAAATGGGGGAGCACAGGTGGGCATGTGTGAACACACACAGACATTTCCTTCTGCTTATTGTTGATATCAAGTGACAGAACTCCTTGGAGGCTAGGATTGCGTGAAGAATGGAGACCAAACAGTAGGCCACAGAGCCTCATATTTTGACTGAGGTTTGTGAGGAGTGTTATAAATTCCAAAAATTTTTAAATTAGAGACTTTCATTATTATTCAAGGTTTTTATCTTCTATATGTCATTTATTGGTGGCTCTGTATACGTATATTTGTATCTTGAAGCCTGTTGTACACACAGTATTCATTGCAACATCGCAAGGTCTTGTTCAAGCCTAAGTGGAAAAGAAATGGTTACCACTTTGTGCCCTGAAGTGCCTGGGAAAGGTGGTGAATCTAGGAACTGGTGACAGACTTCTCTCGTGTTGTCTTTTCTCCCATTTATGCTTTTAGGCACACCACAAAGGAGGGGCTGTTAAGGGGATTCCTTTAGAAGAGGCTGGTGCTGGAGAGCAGGAGGAGCAGCTGCAAGTACAGGCGGCTCAGCCAGGCTGTTAGCTTCCGAGGGCGCAGTTACAACTGCTGAATGACTTGAGGCCATTCTATTGTAACTATATATAGGGCAGAGGAGAACTTCCTGTGGTGAACTCCTTTAAACAAATCTTTTTCCTTATTTTTTTCTCCAAGAATTTTAAGAACATTCCTGCCCTTGTGTGCTACCAACTAAAATAAGTCTGCGGTAAAATTCAACATCTTATTGTGTGTGAAATCCTAAACTTTTCAAACGGACGACACACTGTCTTTTTCTGTTATCAGAGATGACAAAACTATTCATATTTATTCAGTCAGCCTAATTATTATCTGCAAAATATTTGTTTTGATTATTTTTTACTATTGAGGTGGCCGTCACTTGCAGTAATATGTAAATTCTCATGCAGTTTTTTTCAAGTAGTGTTTTTTTAATTAATATACATGTGTACTTGTGCAAATGCTTCTCTGTGTGTATGTGTGTGTGTATATATATATATGTAAAATGATATACGATCAAGAGGACCTCAGGAGGTCCAATTACCTCCTCAAAGGAGGGCCAGCTTTGGGATCAGGCAGGGCTGCTTGGCTTCTATCTGTTAGGGCCTTGAAAACCTCGAGGGATTGAGCCTATACAACCCCTTTGGTAAACCTTCTCCATTTCTTCCCTGCCCTGATAGAGGGGGAAAAACTTCTGTCACATGCAGCCTGACCCTCTGTTTCAGCACATGCTTTTTATTTCTTCTCCTCTCCATGTTGCACAGCAAGATCCTGACTCCATCTTCTTGCCAACCCACTGACACTGGGGTACAGGCAGGTTGCTCTTCGGTTCCCCTTCCTCCCCAAAGCCATCTCTTGTCCCAGCTGAACAAGTCCCAACACCTCAGCCTCTCTTCACAAGCCAAATGCTCCTCTGACCAGTCTAGGGCCTGGGATAGGACCACTGTGCCTATTCCGGTTGGTTTTCTTCCAGATGTCTGCTCTGTTCTGAAAGTCTCAAACTGGCTGCAATGCCTACGGGCTGTTTCACATATCTAATATGACCAGAGTAAGATAGTCCCTTTCCTGGATCTCCTCTCTTTATTCTTATTAACAAAGGCCAGGGTGCTGCTAGCCTTCCTTGCTACCAGATTGTGCTGCCGATTCACCATCAGCTTCCTGGGTGCCCTATGTGCTTTTCAGCAGGTACATGTGTAAATAGAGAATGATGCCATATTATTGTATTCAGAGACCTTTCATCTGCATCGGCCTGGGTTAATTTTCTGTCAGTACATGAGTAGGTAGGCATGTATTTAAGAAAAGGAAAAAAAAAGGTAAAAAGTATTCTAGGTGTTTTCATTATGTACTGCAACCTTTGAAGGGGGAATAAAAGGTGACAGAAGTAAGTCTTCAGGCTTTAAGAACTACTGATCTGTCATAGTTTTGTCATGCATTTCTGTCTGAAGTGAAAGCTTGCTTTTCTGCCAGAAGCATCAGTGACTTTAAAGTTGACTTCAGTGAACACAACAGCAAAACTAATGCTTAGGTCCATAGCTGGTCTTCTGAAGGCTATTTCAGCGGCTTCTTGTTTAAGTTTGTAGTATCAGCAGTTGTTGTAGTCCATTACAGACCATTTGCAGAGTGGGATGGGCACAGATTTAGATGACTAAGAGGATTGGGAAGATTTCTTAGGGAAGAGAACATGTTCTAAATTTGACAAGAGTAACGAAATTGTGGTTGTTAGCAAAGGTCAATAAAAATCACTTGCTTTCCCAGTCTGACTTCAAGATTCACCTTTAAGCTGAGATCAGAGGGGCTTCCTCACCATCAACACAGGGAGCCTCACGCTTACAGCTACTTGGTCCTGCTGCCCTACTTAGACAAATAGTGCTGTGATGTATGCTGGACCAGAGAATAGAAAACTAAACCAGCATCACCATCTTCTTCCCTTTCTCCTGAAAAAAGATGTGTCTGGGGAACAGACCCAGCTGAACATTGTTTCTTTCCCTATTGTATAATTTGGATTAGGCTGAAACCTTTAAATTGATGAGAATGGATACAGCTGCCTCTCTCAGCTGCATCTGTTTTACAGAGTTAATGGAGGAACGATCTCAATAAAATGCTGATAGAGTTGGTGGCTCAGCTAAAATGAAAACTCACCAAAAATTGTGCTTTCCTTCTACAATAGAAGGAAATAAGTGATGCCTGGAGGACAGGGAAAGTGTGGTCCCCATCTGTTCTTTTCCCAAACTCTGTGAAAAGAAATATTTGCTGCTTTTAAGCCCAGAGAACACCTTACAAAGGATTTCAGTGTGTCTGAAATCTTATTTTCAGACCTTATTTTCAGAAATCTTATTTTCTTAAGCATAGAACTGGCTTTTTAGTTCTGTCATAGTAGTTGTTGTTGTACAGGCAGCTTCTGTTATTTATGAGTTTATACCTAATTATTTCTTAATAAAGTTGCCCTTGAACCAATGCATTGTTCTGTATCCTGTGCAATGGTTGAAATATATATACAAACAGGATGTGTCTGCACGCATGTACACAAAAATAAAATATGCATTGTTTTAGAGTCTTTAGACCAGTGTAGTTTGTATAACAACCTGACTGCCTTCGAAACTGGATTAAGTCCTACTGTGGCACCTCACCCACTGGCTTCAATGACCAAGCTGCTTTCAAGCTTCTATGGCTTTTGCCTCAACGCAGCTGGTATTGAGATGTCATAGTTCTAAAGGTTTTTTTCTTCTTTTGGCAACTGGTATGTTAGTGTGAAGGGAATCTGGGATATTTTCATCAGTGATTCATCAGTTCTTAGTCTGCAACCAAGCTTTAAAACCTTAACAAATGAATTTGCATCACTGAGAAAGAATGGCAGTTGCTTTGTATCTTCTGTTTTTGAAAAGGAAGTCTAATGATTACTTGGGTAGCAAATAAATTGGTCCTATGTGATTTCTAGGGACTTACCTAATTGCTCAAATCACCCACCATTGATTTCCATGGAATGCTTAGGGATAGACAAACACAGTGTGTTTTGAACAAGTGACTCCTCTGTGCCTGTAGCCTTTTGACTGCTAGGGCTTTCGTTTCTATATTAATGGTTTCTTCTTTCTTTTTATTCTGCGTTCAACATTATACCCTTATAGGTTTGACCTAAGTGATACCACTTTCCCAACGTGGAGCTTGAATTCTGCCTTTATTGTTAGTGGCAGGGAAAAAAAAGCTGTGAAGCTGGAATAGGTCCTCTGTAAGAGAATCCTAGTATATTATAACAGAAACTTTATGTGTAAATGTGTAAATATATATAATTTTTATTTTTTACTCTGTGCATTTTAAATTTTACACTGGTTTTGTTTCTGTGCATCTTAGGATCCCATGGAGCTGGTCATCCCTCAGAGACTTTAACACCACTGATTGCCTGGGGTGCTGGAGTGAATTATCCACAGGAAGTTACATCCCAGCTCTTTGAAGACAATTTTTTGAAAGGTATGTAAAATATAAAACTTAGTCTGAGATTTTGGTGGAATGGATGATGTTCAACAGTTAAATCTGTTAAGCTTCTCTAGCATCTGTTCCATTACTCTAAGTGTGACATGCTTCTTGCAAGAAAGTGTGGAGAAAAAAAAAGTTGACAATGCGTGTACGTGGAAGAGACAGTAAAGCTGGGTAGATGATAACAGAGTAATTTCCAGTGAGCCATGGAACTGAAGACTTTCTCTTTGGGTACAGGAGACTATTTACACTCCTGAAATTTAATTCCAGAGGAGATTTAATTTTTATGAAGACACCCAGAGGTTAAAAGCTATTTGTATAGAAACATGATAAGTTGACACGGTGTAAGAACCTCTTCTAGCTCCACAGTAGGACCCTGGGAACTTGCCAGGGGAGTCCTATCTTGCATTCATCCTTGTGGCTGTTGCAAAAATGTAAACAGTCTTTCTCAATGACAAACTGTGACTCTTCTATTTTTCCCGTACGTACTTGAAGAAGAGTAAACATTTGTATTTAAAACATTTTTAAAAAATAAAATTTAATATTTCGTATATATAATAAGTATTGTCTTATTGGAATCTTCTTGGGATTCTAGTGCGAGATGTGATAAACAGCACTAGCTCTTCCTCTTTCACGTGTTTCACTCCTCTATCTTAAGAAGCCTTGATTCTCTCAGGTTGCTGCTTGGGATCAATGAGCTAATGACTTCCTGTTTTGCTGGATTTTTTGTCAAGGTATGTAGATTACTCCAAAAGTAATGCCTCTATTTATTTCCATGGAAATTATAACAGGTATAAAGAGGATAAAAACACCATCTGATAGAGTAAATTCTCAGCTACAAAACTGTTCTTCAGCATAATTAACACCATTAGCTATGCATTTTGCCCAGAAGACCTGCATGCTGTGCTTGTGAAAATCTACATGGCTGTTCAGAACATGGCTCGTCTTTCATGTTGCTGTTGCCACTGCTGGAATGCACCACCCATCACCTCACTGTGCTCAGTCATGTTGATGAATGTCAGTGGGTGCCATTTTTTCTGCCTGGAGGACTGTGATGACACACCTTTGCTTCATCACCATTTCCGTGTCAGATGCTATTCTGTCAGACTGCCCCTCTGCTGCCATCTCTCACACAGCAATACAATGCAATGGAGTATTGGTTGGCCGGTTCAATCTCTGCTCCCATATCACTAACATCTGCCTCTGACGTGTGGGCCAATGTAATAAAAATGGGAGGCATTACTTTTGGAGTAGCCTTCATACATTGGAGAAGCAAAAATGCATAAAAAATAATTTAAAACCATTGCCCTTGAACAAGGGCATTTGGCAATAATTACATTGTGCTCATTCATCTCCATTAAAAAAATTACAGCATCTCTGATAAAACTGAAAAACAGTAGAATAGAATAACGTTGGCAGACTCTGGAGCCTGCAGCAGTTGATCTTCAAGACTTCCAAGGATGCTCAGTTGCTCTGTTTATACATAATAGCAGATGTTTATGACTGTCGGTTTTTATTCTTAACTTTAGTGTAAACATGAGTGTCTGACTTGAAGTAAAGATAAAAATGGTGTGAGAGCACTCCAAAAATATGAGTATTGAACTGATATCTAGGTGCACAATAGGAAAAGAGACTTGGCTGTCATCTGTTAGGAAATGTTTATTTTCTTTAAAGCAAGGAATATGTCTGCACCCTGCTGTGCCTGCTTCATATTTTGCTGGTGTTTTTGGTGTTGTGTTGTTTTGGTTTTTTTTCTTTGTTTTGTTCTTATTCAAGGCAGGCATCTGATGCTGCCCTTTGTTCTAGACTTGCTTTGCATCTTTGCAGCTGAAGAGTGTGGTGCTAATTTGGTTTAGACACTGGTTACAAGTTCTTAATTGCCAGGAACAGTCTCTATTTGAGTTCTGAATTTGTGTGAATAAACTGAGAGTTTTAATCTCCCTTTGAACAAAAAGTACTATCTCTGTGATATGACATTAGGTCATTACATTACAGCTTCCAGTAGGCTATGCAGCTCAAATGTAAAGAAAAAAATTGTTGAACTGGAATTTGGTACTCAGTTCAGTTAATTCATTAAGTTTCAAACCTATATCTTTTCATAAAGCCCAGGCGTGTAAGGAAAAAAAAAAAATGAGTAAAAGAAGTCTCAAGAAAAGCTTTGTGAGCCTGCCTCTTCTGCTCATTAAAAAAAAAAAAAAAAAAGCTGAAACCACGTGCAGGTGAAGACTGCAATTTCAAGATTGCTTCATTGCAGTTCTATGCAAGTGACAGATTTATATTTCAGATTGTGCGTTCCAGTTCTTGCCTCTACTGACAAAATCCTTCCTAAGTGCTGAGTTACTGTGCTGCCTCCGTGAACTTGTATTTTCAATGCTGCCAGACTTATGCTCTGCTCAGTGCAAGCAGGCTCTAGGCAGCTCAGTGAATCGTCTCTTTCTCATCATTGCCATCAAGGGTACGTACCCCCAGAGGCAGTGCTGACAGTCAGGACTCAGTCCATCCAATTTGTCATGCAATGATCAGTGTATTTCTTGGGTGCCTGAGGGACGCAGTGTCTGCTCCAGAATGACAGCAGTCTCCTTATCAGTCCCTTCACCTGTGCTTTGCCTTCCCTCAAGGCTGTCCATGCAATTGTTTTGGAAAAATTCGTGATGGCAGAGCTGCATCCTGTGGGCAATGCACAGCATTACCCATTTGGCTGTTGGCTTGACCCTTCAAGGCAGAGAGAAGATAGAGCTCCTCAGCACAGACCCTGCCGGGTGGCCTTGAAATGCCATTTCAGCAGCCTTTAAATGTGGTGGTGGCAGCTTTTATCTACAGTCTTACATGTTTCAGATGAAGCTCAGCCTTATTTGCTTCACCTGAAGTAGCTCAGTGTATTCCTTTGCTATTTCTGCTTGTGTGAGGCTTTGTATGAATTGTCCTTTGGTTCCTGTAGCCTCATGCTTAGCCTTTCTTCTTGCACTGGCATTTCCCTGCAGTTCCTTTGGATTGTTTGCATCTAACAGTGAGCTCAGTGAGTTGCAGTAGTAGTGTGGCAAGATAAGAAAAGCATCTTCTCAGATAGAAAACTGCTAAACACCGTACAAGAAACCTGGACAGCAAGCTTAAAATAACTACAAAAATAAAAATAAATGTACAGATCCACCCTGTCTCATTTTCAGGAGTACAGCCCAGTTTGGTCAGTCTGGAGGAGTGTCTGTTTGCTTGGGAGCAGTTGGATCTAATGTGTTATAGCTCCTGGTCCAGGGCATGTCTTAAATCTGTTCCATGTTGAAAATATCTGAATAAGGAAAGCAGAGCTGTTAGATTTAACAGAAGCTTCTCCAGCAAAGCTGCATTTCCTTCTTGCCCTGAACATTCTTGCCCATCTATTTATATAGATAATTTTACCACTGTTTTGATTGGAAAATGTTATTCAAGGAAAACAAGCATTGCTTTTGTATAATAAAAATATAGCTGAGAATCTATCTCTAGAAATGACTGTAACCTGGCTTCCTGTTCTGGAAAGCACAAGAAAACCACCGTGCTCATTTTGGTGGAGTTTAACACAGAATTCATGATTAATACTCATAATACTTCCCCTCTGTTGCCATGGGAACTCATTTTAACTATTTCTTACTGTTGTTAAAATGCATTGCTACTGTTCAGGATGTTCGTAGTACATAAATAACAATGAACTTGTAATCAAATCCCTGCAGCTTGCCCTGCTACAAGTTAATTACTGAAACTTCAGTACATGCAATACTCAAATCAGAGATTTTTTCCATCCTGGTTAATTTTCAGCTTAGGTTTGGGTCTGATATATTCAGAGTGTATTGAAAGAGAGAGCGTATTGAAAGTCAGAGAAAGATTGCAGTCTAGGATTTGAATGCATGCTGCTGTTTGGAAAATAATGAGGCTGTGCCAGAACTTTGCAGTATGGTTTACCAGTGCTTTCAAGGAAATCTTTTTCTCCTACACTTAAACTTTCACTCACGTCAACCCAGAGGCTGTTAGTTTGTTGTTACTTGTTAGTTTGTTGGTTTGGTTTATTTGCTCCTATTGTTTCTGTAGGTATTGGGTCACCTAATTTAATCACTGGGAAAAGACATGAAGAAAGAACCCTCCTAAACTCTGTTTTGAAATAGGTCTCCACTCCCAAAGAAAAATAACTACTTCATTTCCTTAGAAATTAATGGTGAGCAGGAAAGTGCTGTTTTGAACCAGCTTTTTGCATGATGCACCACAGCTTCAGGGGTTTGTACACTTGGCTTTGTCTGTGCTGTAGTTGTTTTGATTGCCAAGTAGTTGAACTTTTCCTTCAGCTCAGTTTTAGCCAGTATTGCATGTGGGGAACATGAAGTGTACTTGTACTAGTCTGTACCAGTATTTGGCGGACCTAGAGTTAACCCTTTCCTTAAAACAAACAAAACAAAAGCAATAAAAAGCCTTATTGAAGAGATTTAAGCAGTTCTTCTCCAGAAACTGAGTTTTGATCTTTTAGTTGGCACAGGAAATTACTCGTTATTTTCTCTGCTGTACTGGAAAAAGTAAAAAGCTTGGACTTCCCTCTACTGATCTGGGTCACAATTGCTAGCAGCAATTTATTCTGGTGGGTAAAAGAAAATGTGAAGCAAAATAAATACATTTTATTGTTTCCGCCTGTTGTGTTCCATCTGTAACCTCTCTTGAGTGAGCGTCCTAAAGCCAAATTATATTTTTCTTTAGTAACAACAATTTTCAGAAAGTGGCGACAACATATTAAATGTCAGCTGAATGATCCTTTTCAAATCTACTTAGACGTGCTGTTCATGTGCTCTGTTATCTCTTTGCAGAATGGAAGCTGGAGAATCTGAAGAGAATGGATGTCAATCAGGTATCACACGTACCTAATTTAAGAACTCATAAACGTTCAGCTTGAATTTTGTGCGATTTAAACTAATTGAGGGAACTTGAATGAATCACCACACTCACTTAGTGTTTCCCTGGAAAATGTTACTTAAATCTCAGGAGCTGCCCTCTGAACATTTATAATGCATACAGTGTGTCAGGTATTCCTTGGAAGCTCAGTACCGCTTACCTGAAAGTGACTTGAACAGCATAGTTTCTGAAGTTAGTGAACAGCTGCTGTGTGTTTTTTGTTACACTTAATGTGATGTTGTTTGTTTACTGATGTTTTTCAGAGCTATTTTGAAATCTGTATTTTTATTGGTTTAGTGAGAACTATTGGTGATAGGTGGATGGTTGGACTGGATAATCTTGTAGGTCTTTTCCAACATTGTTGTTTCTGTGATTCTGTGATTACTCTTTCCAGAACTTGCTATCACTACTGAATTAAAACTAATTCTTGCTATATGGTGGAATTGTTTTATTGTTGTTGTTTTTCCGACCAAGTCTATAGTTCTGGCCCAGCCACTTGGGTGTTTGACAACTTTTTGTTACTAGATCAGCCAAGCTTTGTAAAGTCCTAGCTGTGGTGTACATCTGTGCACTGGTGGCTTGCTTCTTACTTCATCCCATTCTGTAAACCCCAATATATGAACAAAAGACTCCAAATGTGATATAACAAGGGAAAGATACTTGTGCTGGAAAGTTAAGGGTGGGAAAGTCTTCGATCAGCTGCTTTCAACAAAATCCTTGCATGAAGGTAGAGCTGGATTTTCATCTCAAGGTTGTCAGGAATTACAGGGATGTCATTTTAAGACTGGGTTTTAATATGAAGAGTCTCAAGCATCACTTTGTTCCATGTAATGGAGTCCTCAAAGACAGCTTCCTCCAGCATTCCATAGTATATGTGGAACTATAGGTAATAACAGCAAGCTAGATTTCTGCTTTTATATTGCAGTGCATATGTTTTGTCCTCTAAAAATAACAGTTTGTGCAGTACTGCCTTGGATTTCAGCGCAGTTTCTTCAGATTTGTAGTGGAGGAATTTTTATGCCTAGTTTTATATTACAGGAAAATACGAACCAAGTGAGAACCATTGTTTATCATTACAGGTAGAAGTTAATGGTGACTTACTTTCTGAGAAGCCTTGATGTAAATAAAGGGTTTTCCTTGCGGATTGAGTGCTGAGTGGAAAAAAGAAAACTCCTAGGGTCCTGCTTTGAGGGGGAGGAGTAATCCTCACTGTGAGAATATGGGTAGAGGAGCGTTTTGAAGAGCAATGTATTCCACCTGTTGTCTGAAACTGTAAATATGGCATTCTTTCTTGGTATTAATTGTCATAAAAATGGCATGCTTCTGAGTGCAGTGAAGAAAGATATTGAATTCCTTCAAATAAAAAACATGGCGTTTTATATTTTTTAAGCTAACTGTATTTTTGAAACTTTATCAGTAGTAGAGTCTCATGTTATGCATGTTAACCATTTCATGATGACAAGTGGAAACTGTAGAAGAAATATTAATAAGTAGTTTTAACTTAAAGCTTCACATTATGATATCATTAACATATCTACATTTGTAAAAGTTAAAAATAAACTGAATTTATTAGTTCTAGAAACTTTAATTGTGTTAAAATGAGGATGCTTCTGTGTGCACAGGCTGACATAGCACCGCTGATGGCTTCCCTTATTGGTGTTCCTTTCCCCTTGAATTCTGTGGTAAGTACTGCAAACATTCTACCATATTACAGCAATCTGCTTGTCTTAGAGGAAGGGATGTTGGGATTAAGACATAAGGAAAAAGATTAAAAATCTAGAAAATTACTAGAGGGTGTATAAGGCTATATATGGACAGTACTTGGGAAGGCAGCTGGTCTTTTATAACCTGCAATTTTACACTGTTAAGCTAGAAAGATTTTTATATTTTTTTAGGGATTTTACCAATAGAATATGTTTTGAATAATGTTTGATTTTGATTGCGAAACAAGCTAGTTCTTGCAAGTTAATGTTTAATTATTTCTGGTTTAATTTAGTGTGGTGGGTTTTTCAGATGATACCTTGTGCCTTTAATTTAACAAACAATGAGAGTCCTCTCTGAGATGTCTTTTTCTTTGAATTTGCTTTATTTTTGGGTATCCCAAAGTTTGTTTAATAAATACATGACTGACAGTTAGCATTACACTACCATACTATCATACTTCTTATTTTGTTTTAAAAACATCTCTTTACAACACATTTTCAAAATATTTTTACTACAAACTCTGCTCAAGAGCATGTCCCCCTGTACTGCAGTCCTTGCTGGACATACAGACTGTGAGGAAAGGGGGATGGTGGCATATGAATTGTTCACTCACTCATCGCGAGTGCTGGGCAAGTCAGGACCAAGTGTGGGTTTAGGTGGAAAGCTTCTAGGTATTTTTAAAATGACCTCAGATTAGTGGATGAGGTCTTATTACTCTATGCTATGTTGTATAGTAACAACTTCCATTACTTACCTTTATTATGTTCCTGTGGGAGTCAGGGTGATATGGACAGTCTTTGTGATGTTGGAAAATGATGTAGAAAAGCTATTATGGCAGTTATGTAACTAGTACTTTTTTTTCTTCCCCAGGGAACCCTGCCTCTGGAATACCTGAACAATAGTGATCATTTCAAAGCAGAGAGCATGTTTACCAATGCTCTTCAGGTTCTCGAGCAATTTAAGGTAACTAAGCATATGGTGAAAAAGAAGTATATGTCTTTGAATAACAATTATTGCTGTGCTGTGTAAAATAGTTTTCTGGGACATGCAGTGTATGTGGCATGCTGTAATTCAAAGGACTAAAACTGCGTGCGTATGCTATATAGGTCCTTCTGAAAATAATGCCTCCCATTTATTTCTATGGAAACTTCAATAGGTACAAAGAGTGAAATAATAGAGCCTACATACTGTGCTTTTAAAAATGTGCACCAGTGGAGGTGGCCTGCTGTCGCTGCTGAAACACACCACCCACTGCCTCCCTATGCTCACATCCACTGTTTGGTCTCCATAAACATTCAGCAAGTGTCAATGAATGTCAGTGGGTGCTGGTTTTAACTCATTAGAGGAATTCAGTTCCATGCTTCTGCTTCGTGTGCACTTCTATGTCAGTCACCAATTTGTCAGACTGCCCCTCTACTGCCATCTGTTGCATGAAAACAAAACAGTATCTGTGGGAAGGTTCAACCTCTACTGCCGTACCACCAACATCCACCTCTGATGTTGAGCCAACGTTATAAAATTGGAGGCATTACTTTCAGAGCAGCCATTTAAGTAATCCACTTGACTAGTGGTGAAGAATATCTGACGAGGTTTGAAAGACTTTAATAAACTTTTTTTAAGGAAAAGAAGCAATTTTTTTTTCTCAATTCTTAACTTCAATGCTGATGTTTATTGATATTAGTGTAAACTAACCTATAGGCAGTGTGTAGGTAGGTTTCAAGCTGAATACCAAGTTTTGTTATCAGAAAAAGAGGCATCTCTTTTCCAACTGTGTTTGGGAGACAAGGCTCTCAGGCAGAATCAACAAACAGATTGAAGAGTAACAGGCATGTGTCCATTAAAGAAATGAAATTAGTGGGTTAATTAACCTTTAGCTTATGTTTTAGTGTCTGTTGTTTTGCTTTGTTTCTTATCTCTGCTTTCTATCTTGTTTCATCTCATATTGGAGATTATGAGAACACATGGTCCAAGCAAACAAAAAAGGTTCTATTTCACTAGATGCTGCCTAATTATGGAGTAAGAAACAGTCCCAAATCTCAATTTTGACAGAAAGCAGAGTCATGCAGATCCGTCAGGAAATGCATGTGACAATAGCAGAGCAAGGAACTGATTTGAGATCACCTGTAAGGTGATGATTAGTGCCTTCAGCACCTTCTGTCCCTTAAATGCACAGCTTCCCAAATATGGTTTGTGTGCATCACAAATGGGCCATGTCAACAGCAGTCATTTCCAAATCTGGGATGGAGAGCTGCCATGTAGCAGAGGAAGTGACTGGCTGGATGTGAAGCTGAACTGTGCTGGTACAGCCTCCATGGTTGGAGGGAAGTCTGCTCTAAGTATTGAAGATGTACCTTGGCTTTTTGTTGTTAATGATTGTCTCAAGGAGTTCTTGAGGAAAAGTTAGTAGCTCTTGTCCTACTCTTCTGTAAGTTTATGTTTATTGTGTAATTCCTTAGCGTTAGACTATTTTCTTGTTGAGTGGCTTTTTTTCTAGAATTATTTCGGAAGAACTGTTTATAAATTTCTTTTGCATTTCATTGCTGAAGCAGAAGTAGTGCACTGGATTAGACATGCCAAGTGAGTTTTTACTTTTTCTGTGATGGAGTGACCTGACCACAGATTGTACTCCCTGGAGAGAGAATGTTGTATTGCATGGATAGGATGAGACATGCGGGTTGCTACTTCAAGCTGTCAGATTCTGAGAGCACTGTGCTAGAATGTTCTCTCTGTTTTATGCCATCAGTCAAACTCAAGACAATCTGGTACAGGAGACCTTAAAGATGTTTTGAAGGGCCTTGGGCAAAGTGACTGTCATCAAAATCTTCTATTTTTAGCCAAGCACAGGTTAATCGATCTAATAGTATTGTTTGAACACTGTAGCAGCTGAGTTCTAGTTCCTGTCCAGCATAAATAATGGCTCTTTCATAACAGACTGTTGCTGAAGTCATTTAGTCTTTCTTGCTACATCTTTCCTTTCTCCCAAGAACTGTAGAAATCCTTCTGTATCAATCACCGATCGAGGGAGTGGGGATTGTGTTTTACCTGCCCTGGAGCAGCTTTGGTTTTCCAGAAACACTGATTCAGTGCTCAGAGGAGTCGCACAGATGATATACTGACAACTTGATTTCATTCCTTTTCCTAGAAGACTCTTCCATAGAAGAGTCTCTTCTGTGGCTTAGTTACTGCCTCATACAATTCTTATTGTAACTTGCATCTGTTGTTTTTTTTTTACACAGGTTAAAATGAGTCAGAAAAAGAGAACTACGTTGTCATTTCTGTTCACACCATTTAAGTAAGTGCCTTTAAAACTTAACTTGCTTGTCTCAGCACTTTGTTATTTCAGTGAAATGCAACAACAGACAAATCTGGTCTCTTCAGTCTATATTAAATCATAGTGTTCACGAAACTATGAAACTTTGCATTAGAAAGAAGACTGTTGAATTCATTTATATTTCAAAGCTCTGATTAGAAGTAGATTAAGAAAAAAAGTTTAATTCCTTACCATTAATCTTTTTTTAAGAGCTATTTGCTTAACCTTTTTAACAATATATCTTTATAGAGACGTCACAGTAACTTTCACTGCAGCCTTTTGCTATGTTCTTGTAGCATTCTTTGGGAGATTAAAGTCACTATAATGTTAGGAAAAAAAAAATCTGTTCTCTTCCTTGTTTGTATGTGAATCAAAATTGGACTAAGAATTGTTTCTTCTGCAGTTTAAGTTCTAATCAAAAGCCAATAAACAAAATATCTTACAGCTAGAAATGAAGTTCAAAATCTTTAGAATTTGTGTTGCCTATATTAGAATTTCCAAATCTGTGAAGGAGTTTTTGAAGAGATTTGTTTAGCTGTGAGCTCTCTGTTCTATTGTGCAGAGCTGTTAGTGACCTTCTCACCCTTCAGATTTATCCGGCTAAAGCTGCTTTATCCTATTTCCATCCCCCTGCCCCAGAAGGTCTGAGAAAACTTGCTTTGGGTGCACAGGATCAGTTCTGTTTTTACTATGTGGAGTGCTCCAAAAATGCTTTGTCATTGAGCGCAGTTGTTTTCCTTTGAGACATAAAACTGATGTTAATTAAGATCTTTATGTCATAGGAACAGTGAAGTACTTGAATCTTTCCCTGTGAAGCGCATTTAACTGCTAAATAAGATTGTTGTGTTTATGAACAGAGATTTATTGTGTTACTTTATACCACTAACTTCTTCAAAGGAAAAGGCTCTAAGACGCTTAGTCTGTGCAACCACAGTTAAGTCAATCTTAGGCACATATTGAATGTTTTAATTAACATTCTGCTTCACGATAGTATTATCAAAGAACTCACTGATCATATGGAACAAAATTGCTGCATGGAATGGATGGTCAGTCATCTTTGGTTCTGTGGGGAAGACTTAGATTGACTTTATAGCTCTTGATTAAATTTTACCTTTGTACAAGAAATATCTGGTTCAGTAAAATAGGATGAGTTTTTCTTAATGCTAGATTTATCTTTAAAGGAACCAAGTGCTACTAGTTACCCTATGAACTGGTGTTTTTTTTTCTTTTTTGTGATATATTAATTTGTTCAAAGTTGAAACTCTTGAGACATTCATCACTTTGAAAATAAGACTAAAACTTGTTGTAAAAGTATTGTTACTTTTTGACATGGTATGCTGGAAGAAGTAAATTTATTTGATTCTCAATATTTTTAAGTAGCTTCTGAAAGAGAATTTAGTGTAATGGTTTCATGGGAAATGTTTTTATGTGAAGCCAAATAGATTCCTTGGGTCTGTGAATTACCTTACAAAAGTTATCAATGGTTGCATGTTATGTGAGTAAAGACTCTATTTGGTTCTCAAGAAGATAAATTTGTATCTTCACTGCAGGAAAATAGGAAAAGTTTCATACTGCAGACCATCACATATTAATGCAAATACTCATCCAGCATATACTGTGCAGTGTTTTCCTAGGTGCTAAGTAGGATTCACAGCATTCCTTCATTTCTGAAACTGGGCCTGTGTCTGAGAAGCTACCAAGAGGCCTTCTCCAACCATTTATTAATAACTGTGGTAAAGCATTTGAGGACAAACTTATTCTTAAACAGACAGATGGCTTCCTAGTAGTTCAGCTTGCAGGAACTGAAGGAAAACCTGAGATAATTCTACATATGGCACCTACAGATCCATTCCTTTGTGTGGAGGTGACTGTGGGAGCAGTGAAATGTAAGCCTGAGCTTCAGCTGGGGCTGATGTCGTCGTGTTAGAGTAAGCCAACTTTCATCAGTGGTTTAAGTAAATTTTGCTTGAACCAGAGTGAAACGCTCAGGGAACGTATCCCCTTCTGACTGCTTTTTCTGTGATACTGTAGGTCAGGTTGTGTGTATTTGGTAGCAAGGAGATGTGCATTTCAGGACTTCACAGCTAGCTTTGTCTGTGTGAAGAGATCTGAGGATCTGACAGTTAAAATGTCTAAATAGTGCTACCAAACGTGTTTTGAAGGCTAGAAACTCAGAAGGCAGCAACATTACGGCCCGTGTGATCCAGTTTGAAATCTGTTAACACAATACCTGTTGTTCCACTAATACTACTACAATGAAAAAAAATGCTTAGTAGGAGTCTATGTATAATTGTTTATGTATAATTTTAAATTAGCAACCTCTTAGAAGGCAAAAATCTCTGCAGATGCAAAGTAGTATTTATTATTTAGCGTATAAAAGGGTATGGAATGATGCAGCTGCTCTACTGTTCTCAATAGAAATTAAATAGGTGAAGCTTTGGATAGTTTACTTTTGCATCTGAAGCAGGTGATCTCCTGCTATGCTGTTTCAGAACAATCTGTAGTTGTATAGAGGTTGTATTTAAGCACAGCTATGCATTTTTTGGATTTGTCCTCTGTCTGGACGGTTTGTCCACAAATTATTGTTAATCTGTCATTGACCCTGCCCACTGCTGAACACAGTTGTGTGTTCTGGCTACTACCATCCTTTCAGTAAGGTGTAAGTAGTTTCTTCTACATCTGTTCGTTTATTTGAATTTTTGTAGAAAGGAGTTTAATGTACTTTTAAAATATTTGTGGGGCTGTAAATCTGTAACTCGAAGCTCAGGAAGCAAAATGTTTTATTACTCCCCAGTTTATTGGAGGTTAGTGAAGCATAATTCATGGCTTTTGGGACCATCAATTTTATGTGGAAATTTAAAATGTAGCATTCTGTTCTTGAATATTAGAGATTCTCTTTCACTGTCATGATAATGGAAAAATAAACAAAGATGTCTTAGAATTGCTTTTCATAAAATATTCAAATGATGTAATTGAATAAACATTGCTTAAGTCTGTATAACAGAAATGTGGGTGTGAGTTCAAAGAGGTAAGTGAATCTAAAACTTCCAGCTGAGACATTCAATTTTCAGAGAAGTTGGTAGAATTACTATTAAGGTTGTATATATCTAGGAGGAGAGAGGTACTTTCACAGATAACATACTATGTAGAAAGCAGAATTTACTTAAAACATCAGCTTAATTTTTCAGCATGTAAAAAATGTTTTTATATTGTGGTGAAAATCCTGTTTCTGAGCCTGAATTTTCAAGTGTGTTACTATCAAGTGACTAGAAAATTGTTCGTGTCCTCAGATGCAATGACTTAAAAACAAGTGTTTGAATTGTATGTTGAATCTATTATACTAAAAGCACTAAACTATTTCTTGTATATTACAGGGCTCTGTTTGTCTTATTTAGACAATAGCGTTGGCAGAGAGAAAATTTCTTGAGTTAATTTGGGATTTCTGATTTTCATGAGGAATCAATCCTCTAATGGAGGTGTGATTAGCTCAGTGGATAGGGGATGAAAGAGAATGTTCCCTTATATGGATCCAAATTGCATCCCCTAAATTATCTGTCCAGTTGATAAGGATAGGGAGAAGGGATCTAGTTGTATAACGAAAACTTTGGTTAGTCTACTTGCCCACATTTGAGGGAAGGCAAGAGTTTGGGTAGATGTATCTATCGATAAGGATGCATTTGGCTGACAAGTAATTTTGTTTACATTTAGTCCAAATCCCTTCATCAAGGAGCAAACCTTTCTAAAAGTGTGTGCTGAGGGCTACCTGTTTCACAGGTACACCTTTTGCAAGGAAGTCAGCTTCAAGTGTCTGCTGATTCAGGAGGGTCAGGTGCACAACCTTCTCCCATGGGGGATGAATATACAAAGCAGATATGTCCCCCACTTATATGCAAGTTACTTGTGAGGCTTACACTGAATAATTGTTTATAATATTTATAGTCTATTCTAGTTGAATGCCTGAAGGGATTTACTGTCTGAATTGAGTTTCTTTCCCGCTTCCTTTTACTCGCTTTTTCATTATTTATGAAAGGCAAGTGAGTCTTCAGAAATTATTTGCTTTGCAAAATCAGAGACTTTTCTTATTGGGAAGCTGGAACACTGGCTATGTTCTGACCTTTATATTTAAGAAAGGCAGATACAAAAATGCCAGATGCTTTGGAAGAGAGAGGGAGGACAAACCTGAAGACTGCTGACAAGGAAAACTGATATCCAGGATAGTGAACTTTCTTATTAGCATTCTGGCCACTTGATGTACCTTAAGGCAACTGCAGAGCTGGCATAGCTTGAAGAGGTGTATGCCAAGGGGCCAGATGCTACTGCTGCAAAAGCATTCCCAAAGCTGGCATCTCTGGGCTGTGAAAATAATCCTGAGAGGTGTAGAATGGGAGGACTCGTGTATTGAGGTGAGTAGAGGGAACATCAGTGTTGCATGGAAATTCTCTTAACCAATTAAAGCAATTTGATTATTCAGACAGGTGCAAGTGATTTAATATATTAAATTACATAGAAGCACAGGAGTGCTTTTTGTGTATGTCCAGTGCATACAGTGCTTTTGGAGAAGACTGCTTCCAGCTGTTCAGGTTCTGATTTGGCACACAGCAAGATGGCAGGAGCATTAGGTTAAGAAGAATCGTATACAAAGAAGATGAGCAGCTGGATTATAATCAGTGCTTGCTTTCCTCTAGCTGTGCTTTTTTTGATATCTTCAGTATTTTATATCAGTAAGGCATTTTTTTGTTTGTTGTATTGTTTTTCAGGAAAACAAACCAGCTTAAGCATGGTTTAATGTTAGATCAGTATCTTCTCATGTATGAAAAATTCCATACCACATTGATATTACGTCTTTAAAATAACTTAATTGCTTGAATACAACATCTTAATCATCCCAAGGACTTATTTTTTGCATATAGTCAAGCCATGACTTCCATAGCTATAGCTCTGTAGAAAATCTCAGCATTTTTAATATGTGCAGTGTACAGCTA